TGAAAGGTTGGTGAGGATCGAGATTGATTATCTCTTTAGGTGGCTCCTAGTATTAAAAAATGTATTCCTCCTAAATAGAGAATTGTGAGCTTTCCAATTCATTGTTGTCAGTACTCTGAGATACAGTACCACAGTTTCCTCTGTTGCATAAATTGCATTTTTTCAAATGTTTTTACATACTACGCGCAGTATACCCTTGTGAAAAAGAAGTGTGCTTAAATGTGCACTTGTAGTGTGCGTCAAACCTTATGATTATTAAAAAAACGTACTTGGAGTTATTTATACATTATTGAAATAAAAGGCCACTTATACTTAAGAGAGCACACTTTCATGACTGTTTCTTAACACACATAGACAGCTGTTTTAAAAAGTAATGATGTCAAATTAAAAGTTTTACTCATATTTTGTTGTGTTTTTAAAGATGTACACTTATGTTTATTAAAGCACGTGTAAAGTACTTGATTATAATTTTAATTGTTTTAAATGCACTAAATTGCAACTTCATTGCAAAAGTGTTATTACAAATATATTTAAATACAGACATACACATTTCAATAGAAATGTCATTAAAGTTTTAGTTTAAATGCTTGTCCGTACATTCAAAATGACACTTAAACCATATTTGAATGACAACAGAATTATGATATTACATATTAAATATACTTAAGTCTTACTTGAGTGCATCAAAAATCACTCTTAAATTTAACTAATTGCATTTATTATAAATTCAAACTATAATACAGTTTCATTTAATTTGAAATAACATGCATAAGTGTCCGAAAACAATACATTCGATTCACACTTTTAAGGTATATTATTTATGTAAGTATGCTAAAGTGTACTTCTTTTTCACAATGGTACATCCATACTGCAGATATAGTAAGGATAGTATGGAAATATATTCCATTATGATTCATAATCAGAGGAGTCTAAACAGGATTTTCCTGCTTTAGGTGTTCATTTTGGAAGTGGTGTAAAATAACACATGAACGCAGAGCGTGACATTACTCCTCTGACCTGAAGCAATAACTTACATGAGTCAAAGTCCTCAAAGATCTTCTTGAAGCTCTCACAGTCTGATAGACTTACACAGGTTGAGTAACAACAACATCATTTACTGACTCTGCTGTGGTAGAATCAGTCACGGTGAATTCGAACAGTTAGTCATACACATTCTTTTGAAACTTACAAAAATGTAACTGGTGACAATGAGTTCTTCAGCGCTAGGGATCTTTGTCTTAGGCTAGGGATGCACGATATTATCGGACTGATATCGGAATCGGCCGATAATGGCTTTAAATCTAAATATCGGCATCGGCTCAATATGAAAAATTATGCCGATATGTCTTGCTGATAAGAGGAATGCATTAGCTCACATGTGCTCAGGGTGTGCTAGCGATTAGATCACGTCAGCAGTGTGGCTCATTCTTGAAGCAAGGTTTTGTCTGAATGATGATTAGATTCACTCTTTTGGATCGCTGCATTTAATCTGTAGGGGGCGCTGTTGGCCTACTTCTAATTACATTAAAAGTAAAATGGCCTACACAAATAACATTTAGAATGTTTCTGATTAAATAAAGCAGTAATTGATGTCATAAAATATTGAGTATGTTTTGATTTAAAGGTCAGAATCTATAGCTTACGTGAAAAAAAATTTGTAAATTAAATAATTTTATATATACTGATTTATTCATTAAAGTGTAATATGTTTTATTTTTTTAAACAAATCATAAGCTCTAAAAGATTTTCAGAATTTTTACAACTATTTTGCTTTAGACCATCTACAAATGTTAAATCTTAAAATAAAATGTTAGGGTTAACACTGCATCTTTCTTTTCAAAGCTTCAATGTACTGTCAAAAAAACCTTCATTATTGAAAAATTGACCCTTATAACTGGTTTTGTGGTCCAGGGTCACATATGAGCTGCACTCAACACTGAATGAGACGGAGCGCTCCTCACCTCCTCCACGCCCCAGTGGGCGACGCGACTGGCCTGAACGCCGGCCACACCGGGCAGAAGCTTACAGTGCTGCTCCCAGCACAGCGGCAGATCACGGCTCGGGTGAGCAGACATGGCCGAGAGGAAGACGGACTGATGCAGCGCCTGCTGGAGACCATCCACGTTACGCTCTGAAACACACACACATCAGCCATTTACTGCGGGCAAATAACAAGTGAACCTAGTGAACTGGCAAATTACAGACCCATCTCAAATCTTCCTTTTATGTCTAAAATTTTAGAAAAAGTTGTGTCTGCTCAACTGTGCTCCTTCCTGCAAAAAAATGATCTCTATGAAGAATTTCAGTCAGGTTTCAGGCCCCACCATAGCACAGAAACTGCACGTTTGATTACGTCTTTAATTGATTTTTCCGTACATTTCTGCCATATGTACATTAACTGACAGTCACCACTGATAAGCTACCACTAAATATTGTAGAAACTTAATTTGCTGTAAAGTTGCTTTGCAATGATTTGTATCGTGAAATGCGCTGTACAAATAAACTTGAATTGAATAACAAGAGCTTTCGGATCTACTCAACATAAGATTGTTTTTTTTCCAAATTTCTTTATTAAAGGGATAGTTCACCCAAAAATGAAAATTCTGTCATTAATTACTCACCCTCATGTCGTTACAAACCTGAGATATTTTTGATGAATTCTGAGAGCTCTCTGACCCTGCAAGGATCCTTCCACGATTAAGGTCCAGAAACGTAGTAAGGACATTGTTAAAATAATCCATGTGACATCTCGCGGATACGTTGTTTAGGTTCAGATCAAAGAAAAAACAAAGTATCCATGTATCTACACTACCGGTCAAAGTTTGGGATCAGAATGATTTTTAATGTTTTTACAGGAGTCTCTTCTGCTCATCAAGGCTGCATTTATTTGATCAAAAATACAGGAAAAAATGTAATATTGTGAAATATTAATAGGATGTAAAATAAAGTTTTTCTATTTTAATATACATTAAAATATTATTTATTCCTGTGATGCGCAGCTGTATTTTCAGCATCATTACGGGAGGGTCAGAAAGCTCTTAGAATTAATCAAAAATATCTTAATTTGTGTTCCGAAGATGAACGAAGGTCTTACAGGTTTGGAACGAGGGTGAGTAATTAATGACAGAATTTTCAGAGGTTTTCCTGCATGGACCATCAAATCAACAGAAAACTTTTTTTTTATGTTTTATTATCATTCCACGCTATTATAACCCAGTAAACACCTCCCTCAATCAATTAACTTCCCATGAAAAAGAAAACACTATCTTAAAATTCTAACAAACAGAGCACTTTACAAGGAAAGAAAAGAAAGGAAAGAAAAAAGAAGAGGGGGGGGTCTTCAGGTTAAGCTCAGGTTAAAGGGATAGTTCACCCACAAATGAAAATGTGATGTTTATCTGCTTACCCCCAGACCGATCGTTTCGTGTCTTTACACATCAATGTATCGTCACGAGCCGCAGGGTTTAATTTGGTTTTGTGTATGTTTTTTTGACTCTCAAAGCCGTGATTCCCATTCACTTCCATTATACGACTGACAGACTGCAACGGTTTGAGTTAAAAATCATCATTTGTGTTCTACTGAAGAAACAAAGTCACCTACATCTCGGATGCCCGGGGGGTAAGCAGATAAACATCACATTTTCATTTTTGGGTGAACTATCCCTTTAAGTGTTTAGAAAGTTAATCAAATGTTTTCCAATTTAATGCAGGCAAACACTTCTTCCAGCCATGTATCAAAAGAAGGGGGTGAAACATGTTTCCACTTCAACAGTATGAGACGTCTTGCTAGTAAAGTAGTAAAGGCTAAAGCCGTTTGGACTGTTATTGAAAGGTTAGCATCAACTACCATCCCAAAAATGGCCAAAAGTGGATTTGTATCAAGATCTATGGCAAAGGCGTCTTTCAAAGTTTTAAACATCTTCAATAATCAAGTAGTTTAGGGCATTCCCAAAACATATGAATGAGATCAGCTGGCGACTGCTTCCACCTGTAACATGCATCTCTGACAGAGGGGTATATTTTAGCAAGAACATAAGATTTAAAGCAAGAGTCCACCCAGAAAATAAAACAACATCCACATCCAGTCCAGCTGCAAAAGTTAAATATTTCAAAAGATCTGAAGCTCAAATTGGAAAAAACAAAACAAAACATGATTCTGTGTACACAAACGGCTCTGAGCTCTTGCTCTCGGTCTCTGCTCGCTCAAATGTTCCTGGCAAGAGGAACATTTCTGGCCCTTCATGCTCCGCTGAGGCTGATCTGACCACACAAACGGCTCTAAAGGGACCAAAAGAGCTGCTAAACGAACGCCAGAGATCCTGCTAATCAACTCAAACCGGCACGAACGAGAAAACAGAGGTCAGTGCATGAGAGATTAATATTCCAGTCTCAATCAGGTCTAATATTGTAAAGTAAGAAGGGTTTCTGTGAAGGTCCATACATTGTACATTTTTATAATATTTTAGTAGTTTTAATACATTCTATAGAAAAACAAAATGAACAAAATGAGTTTGATCTTCATCAGGATTTGGAGAAATGTAGCATTGCATCAGTGTCTCAGCAATGGATGCTCTGCAGTGAATGGGTGCCGTCAGAATGAGAGTCCAAACAGCTGATAAAAACATCACAATAATCCACAAGTAATCCACAGCACTCCAGTCCATCAGTTAACAAAAGCTGAAACACATCCAGCATTAAGACGTTTTTAACTCAAATACGAGTCCATAATCCATAATAATGCTTCTTCCAGTGAAAAAGTGCATCTCCTGTTGTCTCTGACATCAAAATCCAGCCCCATATTAGTTTAGAACTGTTTAAACGCTGCTTGATCTGTGCAGATTTCTCTCCGGATTCAGACCAGAACACTTTTTCACTGGAGGAAGTGTTATCCAGTTAACAAGGAACGTTTTGAGAACGTTATAAACAAACATTCTTCCAGTAACATTAACAGAATGTTAGTTCAAAGTGATCTGGTTTATAATGATGTTCTCAAAATGTTATTCATACATCATTCGTGGAACTTTTTCCTGAAATGTTTCAGTTGAACGCTCATCTAACGTTTTTTAAATGTTGCGACTTGTTTCAGAAAATTCAAAAGTAACATTCCCATAATGTTTGCAAAATGATACAATGGAAGGTTTCCTTAATGTTCGCATAACCAAGAAAAAAAACATTCTTCAAAGGTTGTCAAATCCTAAACACAACATTCTTAGAATATTTTTGTTGGATAGAATTATGGACTTGTGTTTTAGTTAAACACATATTAATGCTGGATGTGTCTCAGCTTTTGTCTTCTCCAGATGTTAACTGATGGACTGGAGTGCTGTGGATTACTTGTGGATTATTGTGATGTTTTTATCAGCTGTTTGGACTCTCATTCTGACGGCACCCATTCACTGCAGAGCATCCATTGCTGAGGAACTGATGCAATGCTACATTTCTACAAACCTGATGAAGAAACAAACTCACATTTTAATTTTTAGGTGAGCTGTTCCTTTTATGCCAAAAGAGAAACAAAATCTCATGATGATGTTTTCTGAAATAATTCAGTAATTTTCAAACATGAGATCTCAGACTGAGAGGCAAATACTGAGGAGCCTCATGGGGTGCCAGCGCACAGGACACGGACATCATGAGATCGATGCGAGAAAGACACGCACGCATGCACACACACACACACACAGCTGTGTTTCTGCAGGCGGGTGTTTGGCACGATGACATTCACTCCGATCTGCGTCGCCACCTGTGTCCCATTACACAAGCTGTTGCCATGGCAATTGTCACAGTGCATCGTCGTCTGAGCAACTGTTTGCAATCTGTTGTGTCACATGATCAGGTGAGATCAGGTCTGATGACGAGGATGCGAGCGGACGGCGTCTGCAACGATTAGAGTCTCAAAGCTCACACATCACCGCAGGACACAAAAGAGCAGCACAGTAGAGACAGAGAGAGAGAGAGTGTGTCTCAACTCATCACGCGCACACACACACACACACACACACCTGAACTCGTCACACACACACACACACACAGACACACACAAAGAAATTAAATGGTTAAACTATTATATTAATACTCAATAAGCATGCTTACACACATACATAAACATACGTACATGCACACACATTTTGCTGCAGATATAAATATTTGAAATAAATAGGTGACAATACTTATCTTCTCTTTTTAAGAGTTTATATGTCATTTTCAGGTGAGCGGACGGCGTCTGCAACGATTAGAGTCTCAAAGCTCACACATCACCGCAGGACACAAAAGAGCAGCACAGTAGAGACAGAGAGAGAGAGAGTGTGTCTCAACTCATCACGCGCACACACACACACACACACACACCTGAACTCGTCACACACACACACACACACAGACACACACAAAGAAATTAAATGGTTAAACTATTATATTAATACTCAATAAGCATGCTTACACACATACATAAACATACGTACATGCACACACATTTTGCTGCAGATATAAATATTTGAAATAAATAGGTGACAATACTTATCTTCTCTTTTTAAGAGTGTATATGTCATTTTCAGGTTTCACTGTAATCATAATCTGGCATAATTGTAAAAACTGATATGTCTGTATCAACAAAATGGTAAACTCTACCTTTACTTGACTAAATGTGATTTTCAATGTTAGAACAGTGATTTTATAATGTCTAAGCATGAATCCAGAAGCAAACCTATGAACAGTACTGTTTTAGTGAGTTTGATGAGCCTATTAGTGGCCTTCCACTGCCATCTAGTGGTTATAAATGCAATTTCTCATACAACACTGTGTTTTTAATCTTTATAACTTTTACAGTGTTATTTTTTGCCCAATATGTCTTAAATTTATATGCTTATTTAGCGTGAAATTATGCATCATTTTACACAGTATTGAGAAGTTGTGGGCTTTCTTTTAGGATTTGTAGGCCTTTGGGTACACTATGTAAAGAACATATCACAAAATAACCATGTTATAGCTGTCCAAATGCAAATGTTCAACATTTTTTGATAATTATTGACCTAGAGAGTCTAGACAATAGTACTGCACTGATTTTATTGATTTTGAGTTTAAAACCTACAACTAGTTCACAAAAGTAGAGTTTTTTAAAATAACCTCAAATGTTTCATGAACAGTTTGATTGACTGCATTGGTCCCAGAGGCAAAGTTGTTCAGAATGTGAAGATCTATCATATGATATGAAGATCTAGTGTGTGTGTGTGAATATATGAACATTTTTTTTTTTTTTGCAATTTGAGGTTATTTACTACAGAAATATTGTGTTTTTGAGGCCTTTTTAAATGTTATAGCGCCACCAATGGTCCGGTCTCCATGAAACTTTGCAAGTTTGTTAAGAGTCATCTGACACATGTTTTCACCAAGTTTCATAAAGTTTTGAGTTTTCGTTTAGGTTTTATAGGCTTTTGGGTATATTTGGCCACTCCCCTTTTTAAAATGACCACATTATAGCTAACCAAAGGACAAAATTCAAATTTTTTTTTTGATAATTATTGCGCTGCAGTGGTTTGATCGAGACTGAGCGAAAAACCTAGGACTAGATCGCAAAAGTACGTTTTTAACATATTTGTGAATATTTAATGAACGATTTGATTGACAGCAATGGTTCTTGAGGCAAAGTTGGTCAATATAAAAAGATCTATCAAATGATATGCAAATGATATGCAGTGTGAAACACTACGTGATTACAGAGCCATAAAACTCGTTAGCACCAACTAGTGGCCGATTTCTTTCAAAATTCGTACAGACCTTTAGGGCCATGAGTCGAACATGCCCACAGAGTTTCGTTCCGATCGACCTTCGTTAACCTTGTCAAATAGGTGCTTAAAATTGTTTTGCCAATGGCGGCCATGTTTTTTGAGATACGCAAATGTCCTCATAGACACTTGTGCCACTTCAGACAAAGACACTGCATACCCATTTTCAAGTCGATCGGACCAATGGTTGCGCAGTTATAGCCGTTTTTATGTTTTTTCCATCTTATAGCGCCACCAAGTGGCAGAGCTGTGCAATGTTTTTAATTTAACCAAAGATTGATTTACTATATATAAATAATGCAGCCCAAACACTTTCAGTTATTTTTGCTTCCAGTCTGTTATGCTGGTTTATATTGCAAACTAGTATCTGTTATATTATACTAATGTATTATCAGAATCATAAACACACTGGTTTGCAGTGCAAAAAGTTTGACATTTTACTGCACTGTTTTATTCTTCTAGTTACTATTTATAGCGGCTAATATATCAGAAACCTGAAATATTCACATGAAAATAACTGAAATATCAGAGTAATGTCAGCCAGCAGCTCATTATTACTGAATAAATCCCTTCAAGAGCAAAGAATAAAAAATAAAAAAAAGTTTACTTTGCGATAATGACCAGCTGACTGCACATCATCCCTCGTGTATATAACATCTAGCTAAAATAATGTAATAATGTCACATAATTCGGGAAGCTTTTCATTAAAGTTTGTTTTATACACCTTGCCATTCTCATCCCTCACCAATAAACTCACGCTAGTTTTTACTTCATAACCTCACAGAGCGAAACGATTCATCTGTTATTTTTCAGAAGAGTTTGACGCTCTCTAAATGGTGAGCCGCGTCTCATTATAACCGTCCTCCGTCACAAACACTGCAGACGCTCGTTATTTCACTTCTCAAGTAAACGCTTGCTGTCGGCGCGGCGCTCCTGAAGGACGAGCAGATACTGAGAGCAAATCAATGCAGCTTCAGCATCATCTGACCTTCACACTCACCGTTAGGGCTGCACGATATTGGAAAAAACTCACATTGCGATATTTTGTTTTTCTGCGATATATATTGCGATATGAAAAAAAAAAATCACTAGATGACTTGAATCATCAATGATTGGGGTGATTTTGTAGGTGAGCAAAGAACATCATCATCATCTTTACCACTGATCACAGGCAGCTGAGCTATATATATATATATATATACAGTCAAACCAAAAATTATTCAGACAGCAGATATCATTTTTGATATTTTTTTACTCGTGGGTGCAGGACACTAGTTCATTTATGTAAGTGAGGAGAGCAAAATAAAGTGAACTGTGATATTATACCCAAACATTCTCCGGATCAAAAATGATTCAGACACTTTGAGCTGAGCATGTTTTGCTGAAGTGTTTTTCTTTAATTGCTAATGTGATCTTTTTAC